TTATCTTTATCTCTTGAGGAATCTAAAGTAAGCTCTGAATTGGAGTCCATAGAAGTCAGGCTTCTAGTGGGGCTTCGATTGAGGAAACTATAAAAGAGAGGCACCCCCGTGGGTCTAAGGTACGCAGTTTTATACTCAAGCTTGTGAGTTTAGCACTTGATTATCTTTGAGAGATATACTGACTTGATTGTCGGAGTGCCCCCGGGTGGAGGAGCCACCGCCGGAGCCTTTTCTTTCTGTTGCAGGTTCCTTGAAGCCATCTATTCTGCCGGTGCTCTCCAGCTGATTATTAGGCGGGCAGTGTGGTCAGAAAATCACCCACACAATTACCAAAGTCAATCCCAAAATAAGTCCACTAAGCCAAATTTATTTCTTAAGTTGAACCACCAACTTGAAAGAATTCAAGCTCATATTGTAACTACCGTTAAAATTTCATAATTACTTGTTACTTTTGTGAGATTGATTAGGCCTCTTTTGAGTAACACATAAATAAGTAGAAAATTGGCTTTTTTGAGTCACACTATCTCTCTATTTTTTTTGTATGTTTTTCTGTAATAAGTAAAAAAAAAAAGAATAAGCTTTAAACCATACTCAAAGATAGGACTGTGCAAGATACTGTATAATCCGCTAAAATTGCATCGATCTGCATCAATCTGCACCGCTCTAACCGTTAACCATGGTTTAAATTTTAAAATCTATAATTTGCCTTTCAAACCGCTCCGCTCCGCTGTAGTTAATACATACATATTTTTTAACATCTAATGAAATATCAAAATAAAAATGAGTGTGAGAAAAAATTAAGATATAAAATTCATTACAAATTAGTAGTTATATATACGAAACATATTCTGTAAAATTACTTTGTGTTATATATATAAAAAATATTATACAAATTAGTGTTATATATTATATAAATATATGATAATTAGTTAGAATATTTTTCAATCCGCTAATCTGTTAAAAACCGTTCAAATCATAATTTGTCAATTTTCTAATCTGTCAATTCGCTATTCAATTTATAATTTTATTTTTAAACTGTTCGAATCGCACCGTACACACCCTTACTCAAAACAACCCTTATAATCTTATTGGACTAAATTGAGAAAATGTAATAGTTTAGGACTAAAACTTGCCTTGGGAAGTAGGAAAAAAACTAACTAATTGAATTTTTTTTAAAAAAAAAAATACAAAAAAAAAAAAAAACAGGGAAGTAATTTGTTAACACCATAAATCTGTAATTTTATTATTTAGTTATTTTTTATATAATTGCAAGACATGTGACATCCTCCTATTCATTTAGAAGTTATGAAATGTAGAAAGATGATGGAGAATAAAGTGGGAACATGGAGCATGAAGTGAAGGTTGAAGGAAATTATGGAAGATCATGGAGTATGAAATGGAAGAGGTGGAAGATTAGATAGTTTTAGGTAGTTTTTTTCTACAAGTGTTTGCCTATAAACAGCCATTTATGGCTACATTGTAAAGGATCCAGAACTTAAATCAAAGACAATTGAGTTCAATATTTCTTGTTATTTTTCTTATCTTAGGAGTAGTTTAACATACATTTATATTTCGAAGCATTTATTTTCAGCATTTTCTTTAAAACATTTTATGCACTTCATTTTCGAAACATAGGAGTAGAGGTAAGTAATTATTACTTTGATTGTTTACTCAATCGTCTTTCTCTGTCCCTCATTCTTCTTTTAATTTTTCTGTTCTCTACACTTGGCAATTTTGAAGTTCTCTTTATTGAGGCAAAAGAACCATCAACGCAATCGCTTGATAATTGGCTTGAATTTAATCTGTAAGGGTTTTTCAATCTTTGCTGGCACGCTCGCATTTATGATATTTTCCTTTGTAGGAAAAATAAGCCAACAATTTTTGGCACGCCCGGTGGGACGTCAAGTGTAAGAAATGAAAAATGAATTGGATTTGTCCATTTCAAAAAGCCTAGATGAAATTTATTGGTGTAAACAAAAAATTTTGGATCTTTAAGAAGAGATCCATTTTCTTGATGAAATAAACTTTCATCCCTTACAATATTATTTGGTGGAAGAAAAAAGACACCATTTAATTAGAGAAATTCATTAACTAGATATGGAAATTCACCAATGGAATGATGAGTTATCAACTCTCACTATCAAGTCTTTAACTGAGGCTTTAATGGCCGGAATTGGTGAATTTTTTCAGAATTTTTCCATGGTTAAAAATAGCAAAAGTAAAGAGTTGATTTTATCAATGGCTCGGGGGGTTCAAGAGTCCATTTTTAAATAGCCAAATTATGAAATTAACATAACGAAAGAGCATGTTCTTGAGCCAAATTTGACTAAGAATGATGTTTCATACATGGCTCGGGGGATCTCAAAACCAATTTTTAGAGAATCAAGTCATGAAAATAACATATCCATGGGTGATTTTCATAAGCCATTAATGGCTAACATGGAAAAACAACACATTTTGCCAAATAATTATGAAAATCAATTCGGCAAGAGTCATGTTTTTAAAACAAACATGGTCAAGAATAATGAACAAGCCACTGTTTATGAATTTAAAATTTTTGACATTTTTCAAAGTGTCAAAAAGTATGAATTTTCATGGTCACACTATACCATGACTTTCGTTGTTCGAAATTCATTTTAGATTTATGGATCACATCAAACCTTGACTTTGATGGAATAGCTAACAAATAATATTTCATTATTGCAATATATTAAGCAAAAAATATTGTTATTAGTTGAACCATAAAACCATCACCATTTGGTTTTGTGGTTACCTTCAAAGCATGTCTCAAGACACTTCGAAGCATGTTATTCATTGAAATATTATTTTATAGCCATTAATGGCTAGTTAAAATGCCAAACTAATTTCATAGTAATCCAACTCTTTTGGATTTGGTTCGAAGAGATGTCGTGAGCACTTTTGAATGACGACTTTGATCCTTTAGTAACATATGTGACTTTCGAAGGGCGGTTTTATCATCAATAAATACCTTCGAAATGTAACATGGGACGAGAAAACTTTCAAAATGTGTACCTCCCTTCAAATATATGTAAAATGACAATTAATTTATTATCGAATAATGTCTATTTTTGGCATGATAATTGGTGGCTTTACTGATAGCCATTTTTTATAGCCATTTGTTACATGAAAATGTAATTAGTATTCTACAAAAGTTGGTTCGAAGAACAATGGTTTTGGTGTGTTCGGAGAATTAATAATTGATTTAAAGTATAAAATTAATATTTTCATTAATTATGTGTGAACCAAAACATACAAAATTTGAATAACCACAATGTTGGCCACAAGTTGCTTCGAAAGTCCTTTCGCCATAATTTTGTAAGCTTCGAAGCACTCCATCTTGCATCAACAACAGCTTCGAAGAAAAAATAGTGATGGTTGCGAACTTTCGAAGCTTTGCCGAATATTTCCAATGATGTAATTCGTTATTTGTCGGCATTTTCGACCTTCGAATGATGATTTGGGTCCTTTATACCACATTCGAAGCTGGTTATTTACCATGTGTAATAGTTTGCTATGGTGAATCATTGGCTTTGCCTTGAAAATATGTGGTTCTCCTTCGAAGCTTTTCTGCAATAATATCCCTTCAATGCGTATATATACAATTCGCAACATCTAGTAATAATTTCATGCTCATTCGAAGCATTTTATTAGTGCTATTATATTATTCGAAGCACTTTGTTGATATTATTCGAAGTACTTTATTGCTTAGATTAGTCATGTGCTTGGTTCGGCCCTTCAAAAATTCAAGTAAACATCATTTTTAAGGGGCGCGCGGGGTAATGTTAGCACCATAAATCTGTAATTTCATTATTATTTATTTTTTTTCTAATTGCAGGACATGTGACATCCTCCTACTCATTTGGAGGTTATGAAAAGTTATGAAATATGGAAAGATAATGGAGAATAAAGTGGAGAACATGGAGCATGAAGTAGAGGTTGAAGAAAGTTATGGAAGATCATGGAGTATGAAATGGAGGAGGTGGAAGATTAGGTAGTTTTAGGTAGTTTTTTCCTACAAGTGTTAGCCTATAAATAGTCATTTATGGCTATATTGTAAAGGATCCAGAACTTAAATCAAAGACAATTGATTTCAATATTTCTTGTCATTTTTCTTATCTTAGGAGTAGTTGAACATAGATTTATATTTTAAAGCATTTATTTTCAGCATTTTCTTCAAAGCATTTTATGCATTTCCTTTTCGAAGCATAGAGGTAGAGGTAAGTAATTATTACTTTGATTGTTCATTCAAACGTCTTTTTCTGTCTGTCATTCTTCTTTTAATTTTTTTGTTCTTTGCACTTGGTAATTTTGAAATCCTCTTTGTTGAGGCAAAAAAACCGTCAATACAATCGCTTGATAATTGGCTTGAATTTAATCTGTAAGGATTTTTCAATCGTTATTGGCACGCTGATATTTATAATATTTTACTTCGTAAAAAGTGGTCTACCGGGTGGTCTTCCTTTGGACAGAAAACACGTCTGTGTGCACAGAGTTCTCTGCAGAGTGTGTAGAAAATTGATTTGAAAACGTAACCAAACATCATGTTCCAAAACACACGTAGAAAATTGATTTGAAAATACAAACAAACAAATTACCCAAAAATCTGTGCTTGACCGCACGATTTATGGCAACAAGGACCAATAAGATCGCGCAGGTGAGCTAATCAGCCATTAAGCCAGTAACACTATCACACCTGCAAAAATAATAAATAAATAATGCTCAATTCTCTGGCGAACTCTGCGTTCCGTACGACGACGTGGCTGAGCTGGAATGGCTCTCGAACTTCGTGGACGACTCATTCTCTACCGACAACTTACAAAATCTCCGAAGCTCTCTCTCTCTCTCTAGCCCGAGACCAATATATCGAATCTGTCATCTCCGAACATAGAGGGAGAGAGAGAGAGAGAGAACAGTGTTTTGGTACCAAAGGCAAAGCGCGGTTTGCTACTCCAAATCTCATTTTTATCCTCGCACTTTAGAGAGAGAGTAGAGAGAGAATCTCAATCCATGTTTGAAGCCCTTTCTCTGATGTTCTCTCGACTTTGGAATGATTGAATCTGGAAAACCAACATTTTCCATGCATTTCTCGCCGATTCCGCAACCATGATCTCCTGACCAATCGCGATCGTTTTTTTTATATATATATTTTGATGCTCTGATTGGATTTTTGGTTTCGATTTCGCTCCTGTTGTTTGGTCATTGATTTGTCCGCAGACATGAACGGTGGTGACGATGGAGGCGTCGCGGCAGCTCCGGCGGGTCCACCACCGCCGCTCGACTGGAAATTCTCTCAGGTCTTCGGTGAACGCACCGCCGGTGAAGAAGTTCAAGAAGGTATTTTACTTATTTCGCTTTTAAATTCTTTGGATCCGCTAATTTTTTTTGCGATTTAGGGTTCGCTTGATCTGTTTTCGATCATCGATTTATGAAATTATTGGATTTAGGTTTTGGAATTGGATATTGTATCGACTAATTTGGTAAATAAATCAATTGAGAGATGAACAGTGTGTTACTGGACTTGATGGAGTAACTGTTAGTTTCGCCTTTTTTTTTTAAAGTGCATGTACTTGTTTTGCTATCAAAATTAGTGGATTTGAGTGTCAAATATGGAAAATAATATGCTTTAGTACGGATCTCTATAGCTAAATATTTATTCTTTGAATAGTGTGGCGGTGTTTGTTTATTGAATGGGCACTGTTTCAAGCTTTAGGTAAAGGATAAAGTGATTGTATAGCAGTTCAATTACAACAACGGTTGCTTTATGTTTGGCAGTAACTTGGGGTTAGTCTGTGGCCAACAATCGTGCTTGAAATCTAGTGCCCAAGAAGAAGAGGGGGGTTTAGGGTATTGGGTTTGATGGAGATGCAGTAAGGTGACATTGGGCACATTTGACAAAAGTAATGGGTTTGCTAAACAATGGTCCAACAATCTACTACACATTGACAACATTGTTAGTTTCAGATATTCTGCTGCTTGTTTCTTAGTAAGAACAACAAAATTATTTAATTTCGCCGTGAGGTGTATGTGCCTTCATTTACCCCAAAGGGGGCCATATTGGCTTTGATGGATGCAGTAAGGTGGGGTTACTAAACGTTTGTCCAATAATCTTTATGCATGATGTACAATTGGTAGACTAAATGCTGAAGGAGACAATGGGGGAGAGGAAGAAGATTGTTTGGTTTAAATGTGTATGTACCTTCATGTACTCCTAAGGAGCAGTATCAGGTTTGATGGATGTAGTGAAGTGTCATCAGGCACATTTCTCATAGTAATGGGGTTGCTGAATGATGGTCCAACAATCTACTACACACTGACAAGATTGTTAATACCAGATTTTCCACTGCGAGTTTTCTTAGTCACACTTAATGCATAATATAGGGGGTGTTTGGGAACCCACTTTTGAGGCTAAATTAGCCTTGACACATTTTAAGCCAAAAAGTCTCAAAAATTCTCATCCAATGATTTATATTTAAAATAAAAAATAAAAAAAAAAGCCAAGCCGGAGCAGTGGCAGCCCTACATTGTCATGACAGTGTGTAGGCTGGAAATTGTGGCAGCCTAGTCTTTGAGGCTAAAATGACGATTTTGCCGCTTTAAATTAATTTTGAAAAAAGTGAGATTGGGGACAAAGTTGTCATTTTAACTTTAAACATCTTTTCAACACATTTTTCAATACAACAACTCAAATAAAAATCTAACCCAACTTCCCAAACACAAACACTAAAATAGTCTATTAAAATAGTCAAAAAACCTATAAAATAGGCAGCCTAGTCTTTGAGGCTAAAATGACGATTTTGCCGCTTTAAATTAATTTTGAAAAATTTGAGATTGGGGACAAAGTTGTCATTTTAACTTTAAACATCTTTTCAACACATTTTTCAATGAGATTGGGGACAAAGTTGTCATTTTAACTTTAAACATCTTTTCAACACATTTTTCAATACAACAACTCAAATAAAAATCTAACCCAACTTCCCAAACACAAACACTAAAATAGTCTACTAAAATAGTCAAAAAACCTATAAAATAGCCACTTCCCAAACACCCACATAGAATGGGAGACTATACGCTAAGGGAGACAATAGGGTAGATGTGTGATCGGTTTCATTATGCAGAAGAAAGTAATTAGTCTTAGAAGAAATAGCTTTGTGACAAAATCACGGCTAAGTCTAGAGGTGAGACGGTAAGTGAAATGAATGTAGTATTGTTCTTTTTTTTGTTTTGTTTTGTTTTGTTTTCTGATTTGGAGTACCGTTATGCTTGATTTGGGATCTTCGAGCTGTGGACATCAGAACTAGATGTACTTGTGTATAAGCATGTTTCTATCTTTATATGGTTTTCATTAGCCATTACTCTTGTTCTGAGGGCCATTACAGTGGCTAGTTTTTTGGCAATTTCTATCAGCGCACCCCAAATGGCCAAATAGTTGGACATCCCAAAGATCAGTGCTTCCTGCTTCGTAACTCAACATCTAAACCAACTCCATTTTCTTGCTTTTAGGGCCATGACCTAGGCAACATTATGCGTCCAGGGAAAAAAAAGGTTTTTGCTGTGTTTGACAAAATGCAGACATACATCTTGATGCTTGAGAGATATTATATTGATTGCATTTCTAGCTAATACTTACAAAATGTGTTTGTATTTTATGGCAAACAAATGTAAGGTTGTGCCACTGTTTTATGTTTTCCTAACAAGTTTTTTGCACAGAGTTTGTCAACTTTCTGATTACTAGTATAATATAATAGTTTACCAAGGGTTTAATTTTGTCTCATCGTTGATGTGTGTAGTGATAGGATTGAATTTTTTCGCAATGTCACTGTTATTGAATGACAAGGAAATTACTATTTCATACTAATTGTTTCATCCAAAAGTCGTTAGACACTAAGTTGTGAAGAATATGGGGATAATTTTTTATTGGTGGTTTATCTGATTGGTACTTGGTAGTATGACATTCAGGTTTATACGTATCAAGAAGAAAGCACTGCATATAGGATTGTGATTGAAGATTTGGCAATTTACTTAAGAGGCTGATTGCATGGACGAATAGTATGGTCTTTGCTAATTATTAGCTACAGGTTTTTATTAAGTTTTTATCATAGCTGTTGACAGTCAAACTTGCTAAGAATGTGATTTTTGTACAATTGATCTTTCTCGTTGGACTGAATTTGTATTGGTTAAGGCTATAAACTTGGTTGTATAAATCAATTTGGCTGGTAATAAACTACAAGTTGCAAAAATATACCGGTTGCATAGTATTTGCTGTCTGGGAAATATGCAGAATGTGGTAAAATTAGGAGTGTTGCAATTACTTTGGTTAATTTAAGTGTACAAAAGTTATGCTTGAAGAACACCATGTTTTTTCATTTTGGAAATTTAGAATATCATGAAATTTCTGCATATAATTGGGGTATTATTGGTCTTGCTCCCAACATTTGCAAATGATTTGCATCCATAGATGTAGTAAAACTGTGTGTGTGTGTATAGTTGGATGTTTTCTTAAAGTTCAGTCGATTTTGCAAGATGGCTTCAAATGCAAAATTATTGTTTACATGGTAGTTGAAGGTAATAGTTCTCAGTGTATTTTGGTGGGCTCACAATAGGATTCCTAATCTGTTTGTTTTGAATGCTGCATTTAATTTTGCAGTTGATATCATTTCAGCAATTGAGTTTGATAAAACTGGTGACCACCTTGCTACTGGAGATCGTGGGGGTAGAGTGGTATTATTTGAGAGGACTGATACAAAGGATGTACGGTTGTGCAACTCTTTTGGGTCTAGTGAATCTGAATCTCATATACTACGTTACTGGTTCTTGTTTGTTGTAATAGTATAATATTTTTGTGCAATTTGATGTGTAGAGCGCAAGCCGAAGGGATCTAGAGAGGATGGATTATGCAATTAGTAGACATCCAGAGTTCCGTTATAAAACAGAGTTTCAGAGCCATGAACCTGAGGTATTTATTTTTACTAGTTCTCTTTATGCTTGTTGGATCAGGGTTGATTTAATTTATTCAGTGTTTGCATCTTTCTGCATCCAGTTTGATTATCTTAAGAGCTTGGAAATTGAGGAGAAAATCAACAAGATCAGATGGTGCCAAACAGCTAATGGTGCTTTGTTTCTTTTATCCACAAATGATAAAACTATTAAATTTTGGAAGGTGAGAAGTTCGTTTGTTTTGCATATTTGATCTGCGGGTTCTGTGGTGGTTAATGTGTTGTGCTTTTCCGTCTAACTAATTTTTTAATTGGACCCTTATCTAACAAATTTGTAGATTTGCTTGGGTAGTTTTTTTAGGAACATTAGATTGAACGTTTTTTTTTCAATCAATATGCTTGATTATTTTCTTGGAAAATCTTTCAGTGATCTTCATTTGTAGCAATCATGTGCGTTTATTTTCAATTGTTTGTTCAAACTTTCCTCTCGTCTTGTGTTATGATTTTATATTTCTTCAAATTGCATATCATGGTACTTCTACGGTTGTTTTGGCATGCATGATGTCATGCCCAAAAAAGAAAAGAAAAAAACAAAAACAAAAAAGTTTTGGATGGTAAATCTTGTTTGATTTGATGTGCGATGCCATCTCAAGGCATAGTGGATTCTTGTAAGTGGGGCCAAGCAAATTAGTTTAGTTAAAAAATGTGAGATGTAGGAGATATAGGAGAGGAGATATAAAGTTAAGGGCGCACTGCACCTTTCATTTATTACCAAAATGTTCTGGTGCTTACAGTTGCTTGTTATGAATCTCATGCAATTGAATTTTGGCCGTAAACATGTAACTCGTAATTTCAAAATTTTGTGGTCATGGACTGTGTTTTGGTCATGCTGTGGTTCTCCTTGCATGTTTGTGGTTGTTTAAAGGGGTTTTACAAGTCAAGGTTTTAAAGTTCCGAGTTTGTCAATTTGGACTATTTGGTCTTTATAAGCTATGTACTTCTTTTAATTATAAAAATTCCTTTGGTTCATTGGAGAACAATTAACATATATATATATATATATATATTCCTGCAATTCTGCACCTTAAGGATAGTGTGGTGCAATTCTTACCCTTTGGTGCTGCTACGTTAAGGGACTCTAGATACGTCTTCTCTTCAATTTCCTGCTCAAGATAAGTTTCTAACCCAGAACACACCCTGTTTTCTGTTTACATCCCTAGAACCAACAATGCCTTCTAATGCGTGCAAAATTATTTGGAGCTGGCCAAAAAATCCATTTGATGCTGTCTGACATTTTCTGTTAGAGTAGGATTTAAGAATATTTTTCTTTGTACTTGCCATCATCACTTATCTTTTTACACATGTAATCCCAATTCCCAAATCTAGAGAAATGAGAACAGTTGTGCCATTGTTGTAATTAGAAGGGCTATGCAAATGAATATCACATCTTATTAGTATAAAAATAACGCCCAATTAGTACACATTAATGTGTGTTTGGGAGGGGAAGATTGGGTACACAACTAATCTTTGGTATAGTGCACAAAGTGCCCTGAGACTTGAACCCATAACCTCAAGGTTACTAGGCCAAGGTTATTAGTATGAACTGTTATAATTTGAGTTGGGCTTTCCTATCTAATGGTGTTTTGTGTGGGCCCTCTAGTGTGGTCAAACCCAATGATCATAGATCCTGTAAATTTTTAATTGGATGTTCAATAGTGGTTGTGTTCTGGCAGCCCTCAAATGTGTCCACCATTTGAGCCTTAGTAGTTGTTTAGAAGCTTTGATTAATTTAATTGAGTTGTGAATATTTTTTGAAGCCTATTACAAAATTTCAGAAAAGTGAAAGGAATGCCAATTTTCTGTTGACCAAAGTGGATCTGTTGAATAAATTGAGGCCTTTATTTATGTTTTAGGCAAAAACTTTAAAGCCAGCTCCACCACCGCTTAGTTTTATATAACAGTCTATATTAGAGAAAGTGTACAACACTCAGTAAGTGGTTGTTACACTTATTTGACATATTTGACTCTGATTAATATCTCAAATATGTAGTAGATATCTGAATGAGACAGTTTTGTGTGTCTTTGATGGTTATGCCTCTCACTCAATGGCTCATATGCTAATTTCTTGAGCTCAACAGGTGCAAGAGAAGAAAGTGAAAAAAATTTCTGACATGAACATTGACCCTTTTAAAGCTGTTGGAAATGGCGGTGTTGCCAGTTCAAGTGGCTCTTCTAGCCCTAGACCATATCTTGCAAATGGAGGAAACCCAGATAAATCTTACCATTCTTTGAGCAATGACTTCTCATTCCCACCAGGGGGCATTCCGTCGCTACGTTTACCTGCGGTAGTTGTACTCATCTTTTTATTTTGGTGGTTTTTTTCCTGCAGTAGTAACAGTTTTCAAAATAAATAATGTTGAGTATCAGTGTCTTAGATTATGCCATCATTTCGACATTTCTCAAATTAACTTATTGAAAGAAATTTCTAAATTAGCCTGGCCATATTCTGAAACAAGCACATAGGAATTGTAGGAAAGGTCCAGAAAAATAAAATGAAAGGAAAGAAAAAAAGAAAAGAAAAGAAAAAGGAAGCAGCTAGGTTCAGTGAGTTGCACCTACGGTGCCTATCCTTAATCAAGATCAAGGTACAAGGATTGATGCAAGGTGCACAATCAGGAACCTGCAGATTGCAGACTTTGCCCTGGCACAACCTTTTATTTGACAGACTTAAGGCTATCAAAATTACTTTGTTTTGTTTTTAACTAATATGTAAATATGTACTTTATGTCTGTCTGCAAGAGATTTCAATATGAACTCAATTAAAGAACAATATTTTTTTATTACAAGTAATCGTCATATAGATATGTATTTATGTGTGTTTATGAAACAGAAGTGAGACTACAGGATGGAGATTTTTGCTACAACCATTTTTATTTATTTTTCAAACTTGGACTATCAAAATTGCATTGTTTTGTCTTGCACTAATGTGTCTGCACATATGTCTATTTTTTTCGTGCGAAGTAATTATCATATAATTTATTTATGTATGATAAAAAATATACACATTGGTATTTGGTACACAGTTGAAGTCAGTAACATTCATTTATTTCATTCATTGTTACAATTTGCAGGTAACCAGCCATGAGACTAGCCTTATGGCAAGATGTAGAAGGGTTTATGCTCATGCACATGACTATCATATTAATTCTATTTCAAATAACAGGTGGTTGATCCATAATTTTGAACTTTTATTGAAATGTTACTTTCCATTCTAATTGAATTGCTCTTTAACTTTTTGTAGTTGTTTCATGTTTGTTTACTATTTGGGTTGTCTCATGAGCTTAGAGTTGCTAGAATATACTGATAGCATGTTATTTTTCTCATTCCACTTTCTTCCATGACGAGGCAAAATTTATTTCCATTCTTTGTTCCTATCAGAAAGAATCTAGAATGTGATGAAGGATTTTTTTTTACATGAGATCAAGAATTTAAATTCTACTGGTTTTTCATGGTTAGCATTTTTTCCTTTCTGTGTTACTTTTTTTTGTTTTGTGTGTGTGTGTGTGTGTGAGTCCTGTTTAATTAATTGCATTATTATTAATGAAGCCTCTAACTGGAGGTATAGAAAGAGGAAGAGGATGATTGACTGTCTTGGATTGAATTATGAGGATATGTCATATATTTTTATGTGTACATACATGGATACGTAATTATATCTCTTTCTAACTGAAGACATGCTCTTTGGCTGTTTGTGTGGGCCTAAACTTTCCATGCAAGTATGATGAAATAAATACAGTGTGTTTTAAAGACTGCGAGTGTTTTGCATGACAATAGCTGATTAGATTAGGTTATAGCTTGGTGGCATGGGCTCTATGTGGCATGTCATGCTCCTGTCAATCTCTCTACACCCAAAATCCCAAGCCTCTCTCCTTTAGAAATTATGAAAGGAAAGATGAAAGAACCAACCCCTGCCCACTTCTCTAAGATGATTGGTATCCAATTGAATTATATTTATTTACTGCTATACTTTTTCATGTTTACTTGTAGTGAAGGTATGAAAGATGTATACATCGTAGAACACCAAAAAATTGCAAAACTTCCAAGGGAATACTATAAATAAATGCTGAAATTATTGCGTAGTAATCAGGATTGGTAAGCAGAATAACTGTCTATTATGTGGAAGAAGAAAAAACCCCATAAGAGATTACTTTCCGTATAATCAGATAAATTTAACTGGCTAAAGCAGTTTATTGCTGCTCTTTTTTTAATTTAGGTGGTGTTATTTTATCCTACTGGTCATTAACTTTATCCTGTGCGCATGAATGTTGTGATTTGGCTTGTGTTAGAATTTCAAAGTGCTATCTTCTGCTTAGATTTTCACCAGTTAGATTATCAATACATGCTGGCTTTTAATTTTATGCAATTGTCTGGCTAAATCTTGCATCTGGAACTATCGGTGCAGAATAACTTTGTGGAGACCTTGTTTATGGTAGATTCTCTCTGGATTATATGTGCGCATTGTCTATGCTTTTAATTGCGTTTCTTTGTCTTTATTTTATTTTTTTGTACTGTGTATAATCTTTGATTTTTCATATAATTTTGCTGGGGTCAATTTGATATTCATAATTTGAAACTATTAGAAATGCATGCTGTTCAAATAGCGCCAAAAAAAAAAAAAAAAACACACTTTACGTTCCTTTTTTATTCTGTGCCTGATATCAAGTCTGCTTCTCATCTATAGTATGGTTTTTGCAAAATTTAACTCTCTGTCTCTCTCTCTCTCATCTTCTAGTGATGGCGAAACATTTATATCAGCTGATGATCTGCGAATAAACCTTTGGAACTTGGAAATTAGCAATCAAAGTTTCAATATTGTTGATGTGAAGCCTGCAAACATGGAGGATCTAACTGGTATGGTCCTTAGCGTATTGATCCAAGCTTGCAAATTAAATCACAATGTCTTTGAATGTTTTTTTTTTTAACATTTGCTTCCCATGTTGGTTTCCATTTATGATTCTTTCTTGGTTTTGGTTTTATGTGGGGTTGTTGCTTTGGTTATGCTTAGGAGATATGAGCCATACGACCATTTATATAATTCTTTTCAGAAGTTTTTCTACTTTCTTTTTGGCAATCCTATTTTTCTCTTCATGTGATATGAGGACTGGCTAGGGTGGGTTGTTCATTGAACATGAAAAACAATGTAAATCAATATTTTTTTAACTCCACTAAGGTAACAGGCTATTGTGCTCTTTTTTAGGGAGGAATATAGATTTTTTTTTTTTTTTAAAGTGCAGTTCCTCATAAAACTCTAGTGTTTCCGGCTTTGGTAACCAGCCTGGGTTCCAAAAAATAGGTTGGTTTACAGTTTGGATTTCTAGAACTGCCTGTTAGCTTATTACTTCATGCATATTTTGGTTACTTAATAGGCAGATAGATGTAGGCGAATTTGTTTGATATTAATACAGGTTTAGGCCTTCAAATTAAATATAGCTATTTTGTTGCAGAGGTGATAACATCAGCGGAGTTTCATCCCAGCCATTGTAATATGTTGGCATATAGTAGTTCGAAAGGGTCAATTCGTCTTATTGATTTGCGGCAATCAGCTTTATGTGATACACATTCTAAATTGTAAGTTCCTCTGTGGTTTTGTATTGCTTTAATCATCCCCCAATTAAATAACAAGGTTGAAAGCAAACCTAGTGGTTGCCACCGTTGGAACTGTTGAGACTTCCTTGAAAAATAAATAAATAAATAAAAAGGGGGAAAAGAAGCATTGTTGTTTAGTTTCCTAATATGCACAAGAGTTACTTTCAAATGCTCTTTGGATGATTGGACAATGATATCCTTTGCATACAGGTTTGAGGAACAGGAGGCACCTGGTTCAAGATCTTTTTTCACTGAAATAATAGCGTCGATTTCAGATATTAAATTTGGAAAGGATGGAAGATATATACTTAGCCGTGATTACATGACTCTTAAGGTTTGAATCATTCTTGATAATAACATGAGCTTTTGTGTTTGGCACAAACCTGTCATGAATTTGCCGCTACTATATATGCATGTGTTGGGCTGCAGAGTATGGAGGACATGGGAAATGCACCTACACATTTCCTTCAGTTGCTTCTCGACTTAACTAACGTAGGAATGACGAATGTATTCCTAGTTCACCAAAAGTTTCATATTTCCCAAAATTTTCTTCTTGTTGCATGGGTATTTGTGAATGATCGCATTTATTCATGATTAAGATATGTGTAATGTTTCAACTTAATTTTTATCATAAATTAATGATGAATGAAACTTTAGTCATCCTGACATTTTGATTATTTTCTCCTACCCTTTCACCCAGTGACTAAACAAATCCTCTGCCTAGATAAGTCCTGACACACCCATCCTACAGCCATTAGTGCTGTAGAATATGATCACCTCACTTGACATGATTTGGATGTTGACTAGGTCATTTGACTACGTTTTCCTGTTGTTGGTCATGTCTGTAAATGTAGTTACTGTTAATTCATTTGGTGGAAGATTGTTTTATGGACTCAAGATTCATATATCACACGAGGGTTTAGCATGCTTTGGTGTGAGATTTCCCTGTGGCTCTTCTATCCCTCAGGTAGTAGGTGGGGGTGTGGACATGGGCCTGCTAAACCCGGCCATAATTTATAGGACTTGGGATTATGGTTTAGGCCCATAGGGTTGGGTTGGGCAGATTTTTTAGGACCAATTATAATATATGCCGGGCTTGGGAAGAGTACTTCAAGCCCAGCCCGCCCCCCAGCACCCCTCCCACAAACTGTTATTATGTGGTATGGGCCTGGCCCATGTCCACACCTAATAGTAGGACATAGAAACATGGCTTAGCACTCAGACATCTTGTTCCCTTTTATATTGCAACGTAAACTAAAGCATCCATACAACTACTGTGTCCATGATATGCAACATGTCCATGTCTATGATATGCGATTTTGATAGATCATTTGAAAAATAAACCTGATATTTTATTGCTTCCATTGTCATACACTTTGGCCAAGTTTGTTTGTAGTATTAACTGGGGTAGAAAGTAGGGGAATACATGGGGTTCACCAAAGTTTTAATCCCATGTTTGATTGTTGGATAAGAAAGAGGGGATTAAACGTGGTGGAACATCTTGGCCCTCCTGTTTTTAAGTCCATTGTTTATGTAGTCTGGTGTTAAAACTCTTTTAAGTTTAATACTGGTATGGGGAATTAAATGGAAAAATGGGTATTAAGTAATACCATAGGAATTGTGGTATTAGGGGGATTAGGCTTCTCTGTATTATTTTTCACCTTCATTTAATGGTCAAAAATAATTATATATTTTTATTTCATCCTAACCAAACATAATAGCCCCCTCAGTCTATCCAATCCTTTATTTTATCTATTTATCACATGGTATAACTTATCCCCCATAATTTAATTCATAATCCTATCATATGTACAATCTTTCATCCCATCTAGTCCCATGGTATAATTTATCGGCCACAATCCCAATAATAACCACATTATATCCAACTTCAAAAATGGTTCAGAAATCAGGTGCTTATTCTTTAACGGGAACATCAAATGAAAATTTCGTTGTAAATGGCTGCAGATGCAAAGTTTGTCATTTTGACACACTAACCTAGCAGTAACGTCTGTGTTGGTTTGTGAAGGTTTTTCTTAATATTGTGGTTGTAAAATAAACATGTACATGTTATTTAAAGTTAGAAGTTGAGAAACTTGTCCAGGCTCCGCCATTGCAGATAATAGGGAGATCCTGCTGACTTGGAGGTTTGATTTACTGTACTGCCAGATCAACTGACTACTGCATTATGACCCAAGTGTGTTGTGGGTAGTCATTGTTCTAACAATTGCTCATGGTTTTGGAGTATGGGGTGATTGTGGTGCTCTGAGGTGGGAGTGACATTTCTCTTTTGTTTTGTTTAATGAGGTTTCCAATAGTAATTTTTGACGGTGAACTTGAACTACCGTTCTTTGGATTGGTGAAATTTGTAGCTTTCTTATTTCTATAGGACATTTATTGGAATGCCACTTTACAATGTGTAATTTTTAATGTAATTCAGTCTGCAGAAAGCTTACAGTGTAATACTGTATTGTACATGTGTTTTTATTGGCATATTGAAAAGTTCCATGCAATTAGTGTAGCTTGCATAATCTAAATGTTAAGGATTCTTGCCTGCTTGCAGATTTCTGCAAAAAACATGTTCTAGATTTGATAGCTTATGTTCTAGTATTTTTTGATTGACTTTACTGTTCTTGCTGAAATCTGTTTTAATTGGTTTCAGTTATGGGATATCAATATGGATTCAGGTCCAGTTTCAACCTTCCAGGTTCACGAGTATCTTAGACCCAAGGTATTTTCTTTTTCTTTTCTTCAATCAGTCTGTATTCAATACTTTTTGCTGATTTGATATGTAATTGGCTTGAATTGCTTTTGTCCAGCTATGTGATCTGTATGAAAATGATTCCATCTTTGATAAATTTGAGTGTTGCTTGAGTGGTGAAGGGATGCGAGTGGCAACAGGTTCTTACAGGTCTGTTCACATATTTTTGTTGTATTTTTTATTGGTTGCCATTTACCTTTAGCCGTGCGTCTAATATTCAATTAATGTGGTCCTAGCAATCTGTTCCGTGTGTTCGGTTGTGCTTCGGGCAGTACTGAAGCAACTACTTTGGAAGCCAGCAAAAACCCTATGAGGTATCATTGACTAAAGTACTAAGTATCGGTTTAATGTTGATATCATCTTACAATTCTAGTAACTATAGAAACGTTTACGTGCCATATAGGAAACAAGTGCAGACCCCTTCAAGGCCTTCCAGATCCCTTAGCAGTATAACACGTGTTGTCAGACGAGGTTTTCTCTCTCTCTCTCTCTCTCAACTTTCTTGCTGTTCATCAGTTTTGATTTAACACTTACAGTCTGTTTGGATCGAATGATTTGGTGAGAAATAATAAGAAATGAAGAAAAGGAAGTATTTTTCTCATGTTTGGATTTTAAGTTGGGTGAGAAATGGGTGGGAAAAGAGAACTCTTAGGTTTTTTCACCAAAAGTTAAGAGATTTGGTGAAAAACAAAAGGATATTCCATTCATATCCTTGTATCACTTTGCTTTTTACTCATCCAAAACATGATAATGAGATAATACAATCATTTCTTTTCTTTTTTCACCTAGACGAGAGAAAACATCACTTCTTTTCTTTTCTCAGCCTGTGATCCAAATAGTGTTATTAGACACATGGGGGGCTTGTATTTCACTTCATTGTAAATATTGGAATATCCTTAAACAGGAGCAGAAAGCCCAGGAGTTGATGCAAATGGAAACTCTTTCGATTTCACTACAAAGTTGCTCCACCTGGCATGGCACCCAACTGAGAACTCAATCGCTTGTGCTGCTGCAAACAGCCTGTACATGTATTATGCATGAAGTTGATGGGGCCACGAGAAGAAAATTATCATAGCTTGTTTAAACTTTTTTTGGGGTTGCTGTTGGAGAAAAATCTCTTTTCCATTTTGTGCCAACTGGCAACACAAGGCTTCAATTTCTCACATTTCAAGTGCCTCACAAAATCGAAGTTTAGAAGTCGCTGTCAGAAAATCGATAACAAAGTAACTTGGTCTTTGTTCCTGGGCAAAGCAGATTTGCTTGCTTCCACCCCCGACTCGTCCAAATTTCTGATTCAGCATCAATTTCTTTTATTTTTTTTCCCTTTTCTTCTCGAAGGAAAGTTGCAGATGCGTTCTTTATTGTGTTGGGTTGAAATCGGGAAAATGTGATTGTAGTTTCTCCGACCACAGAAACTTAAGGATGTCCAGATACTTCTCTCTTTTGCCACTAGTTTTAAGATAAATGTAGTTTTACTGGGAAGAAGATGCTGCTAACATGCACGGTGCATCAAGCTTATTAATTTGTTTGGGTTACTGTTGAATTTTTATTTTTATTTTTATTAATTTTTTTTTAGGATATGATCTTACTCTGGTTTTGTTATAGTTTTGCAATTCAAGTATTTTTTTTTTATTTTGTAATTTAATAGATTTTTATTTTTGCTTGCATGGTTGCTAAATTTATTTCAGTTTTCGGGTAGTGTTCTTTCTGTGAATATGAATCAGAAGGCCTCCAGAATTAAGAATTAAGTGTCCATCTATTTTGCTTGTATCTGTATAATTGTGCTTATATTAAATTAGTTTGTTTGGACTGAAAATATTTTTTTTTAATTATTTTTTTGTATTTTTTGACGTATGAAAAGTGAAAGTCAATGGAAAATATGCACATTTTTTATGGTTAACAAAAGGTAAGTTTATTTTGGTAAAATATATTTTTCACTTTCAAAGGTAAAAAATATTTTTTGAACCAAAGTCCTATTAATATCACCCCACCAATACTGTTTATTCACTTTCATCTCCACACCATAACTATTACGGTTAGGAAAATGTTTGAGGGTCATAATTTTTGGGGCCATAATGGCTCAAAATTGTCAAAACGACGTCGTTTTGGGTGCAGAACATGTCAAAATGATGTCGTTTTGACAGTTTTGAGCCATTGTGGTCACAAAAATTGTGGCCCTCTAGCATTGTTGTTACGGCTATTACTACCATCACTATTGCTGTTACTTTACCATCACCTCTATCTCCACTTTTGTCTCATCGTCACCACCACTGAACATAGAAAAATAAAAATGAATCATAGAAAAAAATTCTGTTAGAAATTATTTTCAATCTAAACAAATGGCGCACGAATAACTGGACTTATATATATATTTTTTCCATTAATCATAACTACATATACTTACCAAAATTATAAAGTTTAGATATTCTCTATATTTAACTATACATTTTCTCTCCTAATTCTTCTCCTGAAGAAATGTATCACTTCTCATATTTTTTTTCATCCAAATATTGCGTTCTTCAGTAGTGTGGGAGATTTTATCTTTTACTTTTTGACAATAGAACAGAACCATAAATTAAAAAGCAAAAGGATAAATGACAAACACAACTTTTGAGATATACTTAAATTATAAATTACTTTTCGTAATTTTAGAAATTACATTATGTCCCGTAAGATTTCTAATTTCATAATAAATAGGTTTTTTATTAATAAATCATCAAGTTAATTAATAGTTTTTAGTAATGTTAAAATTTTATTTCAATTAATAATTCATATAATTTTATTATTGTATAGGTGAATAATTAGAAATTTTATTTTTTCAATTAATTCTGTTAAATAAAAAATTTTAACAAAAAAATATTTGTAATATTTTAAATTATAAAAAATAATTTGTATTTTAAGTAAATTTTAAGAATATATTTGTAATTTACCCAAAAGAAAAATAGAGGAGACCTTTTTTCTTTTTTGGTCGTTACATGGAGGAGACCTAGAAAGTGTAAACGTTTTTTTTGATATATCGGAAATGTCTTTGAAAGTGTAAACGAAGTTGTGTGAAAGGGGAAAAATCCAAGCCTTGCTTGCCAGTTGGTACTACAAAAAGAGAGGAATTGTTCTTCTCTCTCTCTCTCTCTCTCTCTCTCTCTCTCTGTTGATCAAAGCAGAAATTGTAGACTGCTTCCGTATAGTATATATCTCTGTCTATCTATCTATCTATATATGTGACACGACAAGATGTAATGAGACCGGATGTCACTTTTCACAATAGTACTGAATCAACTGTCCTGTCCACCTCAATATTTCAATAATATTTTAGTGTGATAATACAATAGTGATTCACATTTTTTTTTTTTATAGTTATGTGACAAAGAATTAAGGGCGGGTGTGGTATCGTGTTTATAATATTTATATTGTGTTATTTCAAATTTGTATCAAAATTATTTCAATATGAATTCAAACTCTTTATTTTTTTTGTTATTGGCCTCGTTTGGGAAGTGGCTATTTTAGTAGGCTATTTGGTTTTTTGGTTATTTTAGTGGCTATTTTAGTTTTTGTGTTTGGGAAGATGAGATGATTTTTTAGTTGAGTTATTGTATTGAAAAGTGTGTTGAAATGATGTTTAAATTTAAAATGACAAATTTATCTCTAAAAATATATTTTTTTAAATTGATATCAAGGGGTAAAATGGTAATTTACTTATTGATGGGATAAAGGTTGTAGCTGACAGTGTAGGCACAGCCTACATTGCCGGCTGTGCAGAATTTTTTTTTTTTTTTTTTTTGAAAAAGGTTGCAATAGTGTTGCTTTTGGACTACTTTGTCAAAATAGGCTATAATAGCCTTATTTTGTGCTTCCCAAACAGGCCCATTATAGTTAATATATGATTTCTATCTTGTCAAAAATGACATCCTTAATTAAAATGACCAAATATGGCAAAAATTAAAATTTATTTTCACAAGTTAAATTTCATGTAACAAAAATCTCTATTGAAAAAAATGATACGGAATATTTCTTTTATTATTATTTTCAACGCAGTTTTATTTCTCCAACTTTGGAAAGATAGTTATAATCAGTTTTTTGGTGAAAAGCTGCTTATAAGTAATTTTTTTGTGAGAGAGGAAGTGGGTTATAATCTGAGAAGCGGATTATAACTCACTTCTCAAAGTAGCCCAAAAAGTGTATCTTATTAATATATTTTTTTTTACCAAATTGACTTTAAAATAGCATACAAAAATTACATTATCTTAAATGAAAAACCAAAAAGAAAGTTATATTCGCCAAAAAATTGCATTTTACATATATATATATATGTATATATTTGTTGAACTAGATGAAATTAACTAGCTGATTCAAACTATCATGAAACCCTTCCCAAACCAGGCTAAAATAGCCCAGGCTAAAATAGCCAAAAAGTCAAAAAGCCAACCCACTTCCCAAACGGAGGCTAAGTTGTGTAGTTATTTTTTTTTATTAAATGGGTAATTAGTGTTAATTTCATGTTAATATTTGTGTTATGTCATTATATTCATATTCATATTGAAAAATGATTAATTCTTTTACATGAAAGCCATTTGACAACTTTTGAAAAAGTCAACCTTTTAAATGTCAAAAAATCATTAAATTAAATTGATTTGTCATTAGTTAAAAAAGTTAAATGTTACATTAAATTTTTCACTCACAAAAAAAAAAAAACTTTATAATACCTTTTCAAAGACATTTAATATTTTTAGCTCTTAAATTTTTTTTTTAAAAAAAATCACAAATAAATTAACCCCAAACAACCACTAAAGTTTGTGTATTAGAGAATAACCCATTGCAATTTCACAACTTTTGTGTTTAAGTATTAATAGTTTTCCACTGTGGTCACCCACCGCTTCATATCTCTCTCTCAATGTTTGGCATGAATTGTTTGGACTAAAATAGTCGTAAGAAAATAAAATAAATTAAAAAATTAATAAGATAAATTGGTGATTTGAAAAGTGAAAAATGAGTTGGACCTCCAATGCGGTGACCCCAGCACCCCCACTGTTTTGTGATTGGCTCAATTTTTATTTTTTATTTTTTTTTCTGTCTGCAAGTCACAGCCCCCCACGTGGAGGTGGGGTGCTGGTTCCCAGCAGGACTGTTGAAAAGTTATTTAAGCGTTGATTTTTTAACTTGTTTTTTTGAATTTTTTGTCTTTTTGTATATAAAAAATATGAAAAGTAATGTGACCAAAAATAAGTTAAAGGCTAAAAGATATATTCCAATAATAATTATTTTATTTTTCTCTTACAAAAGACAAAAAAATCAAAAAGTTCATCCCAAATAAAACTTTTTAATCCCAGGTTAAAATAGCTAAAAAATCAACTCACATCTAAAACGAAGGCTATATATCTATCTTGTTTTACATTTTAATTTGGGTAAATTTTAAATACATCCTAAGATTTTTTTTAAATATAAATTTTTATTAAAAAGTTATCAAGTTAATTAATAATTTTTAATAGTATTTTAATTAATAACTTAAATAATTTCATTGCTATATAAGATAGAAATTAAGAGTTTTATTTTTATTTTTTTGTTAATTCTGTTCAATAAAAAAAATTATAAAAAAGATGTTTATAATTTTTATAATTATAAAAAATAATTTATATTTTAAGTAAATCTATTTATCTTTTTAATTAGGGGTGATTTGGAAAGTTAACTTTTAACACATTTTGAATCGCATCACATTTTTCATGCATAAAAAGATAAAAAAAATTAAAAAAAAAAAACAGTTTTTAACGAACTTCTCAAATAACTCTTTAATAAATTTCCAAATGTGCAATTGAAAACAGAGGGCTGAGGAGGACCCTGCGTTTACCATTTTCATGATAGTCTCTGTCTCTCTCTCTCTCTCAAACCATTGTAATATAACTATTGAATCCAAGGGGTTAAAGGCAGAGCAAGTTTGTCTTTGATCAAAACAATCGCTGTCCTACACGTAATCTAATTTGATTCATGTTCTTTTTGACAGAAAAGCAGTGAATCAGAGTGATAGTGAGAGAACAATTCCCATTTTGGATTTTGCCACGACGACGGTGGCTTTGTCAAGGTCGGCCTTTGGTGGTTTCTATTTGTATTAGAAAAACATTTGGTAATTTAAATTTATGTATTTTAAATAATTTAAATGCATCTAAACGATATCGTTTTACTGTTAAAATGACGTTGTTTTGAAATTTTTGAGCCATTTGGATCATGAAAATTCAAGTTACTAAGTATTGTTGTTTGTACTATACTTGTGGTGAAACTTGTCTCTAATTTATTTTGTGAATTTGATAATGTTACTGGAGTTATAGTACTCATCATAGGTTATGTTTCGATTATCTGAACGGTTTGATGTGTAGAATTTATCGAATATTTTATTCCTGTAAAAAATTAAGTTGATCAAATATCGTTAACAAAAATTTGATCCAATCAAGTAGTTATCGATATCCAATCAAAGTGATTTCTTACAAAGATAAAGTGTTGGACGAGTTCTACAAATTTAATGATTCAGATTATCGAAATAAGATTCATAATGGACCCTTACGAGTCCAACAACACTCTCCAATACGATATTCAAAGGGAGATAAGCCTGACCTATACTTATACCCTCCTCTCACTCCTTTATCAACTTTCACACACCTTATAAGATTCATTTGGGAAGAAC